GCTCTGACAGGGAGGAGATGGTGCCCCACAGACACCCCCTGCTCAGAGAACAGCTCTCAAATGCCCAACATCAGACAGAGCAGCAGTGATGGGCACTTGGGAAGTCACAGAGTCCTTCTCTGCTGCTTCCCAACAAATATTCCTCTAGCAGCTTCTTAAGGTGATGCTAGATCAAGTGAAGATAAAGAAAAACATGGAACAGCCTCTCTGCAGACCTTGGTCCATGGTTCAGGCTATTTAAATAGGTTGGGTAGAAGCTGGAGGTGCAGCTGCTGAGTAGTTGGAGGAAGGCTGCCCCTCTGAGGGCTGGCTGCTACCAGGCAGTGTTTTGCAGCTGCTAAATGACTTTTTAAATTGAGGAGGAACCTACAGCCACGTTTACAGTCCCCTCAGCTCCCTTATATAGGGCAGCACAATGGCTGGAGAGCACCACTTGGCTCTGTTACCAGACAGCACAGTCCTGCTGTCCCACAGCAAGGAGTGGCTATGGATTCCAATAAACCACAGCAGCTCTGGCCAAAGGCGATTTCCCTCCTGCCCTTCTGCTCCCCTTCCCCACTTCTCCCTTCCCTGTGCCACTGGACTGAGGACACTCACAAAATTTAGCCCTCTGGGAGGCACGGAGCAAACAAACCTTTAGGGGTTTTTTCCCTGTGACTTGGCTTATTTAAGTGTATTGGAAAGTGGGTTTGGGGTGTGCAGTGTTTTTCCTTGGGGTCTGACACATGCTGTTGATGTCCCAGCAGCTGCAGCACCTTAGAGCTGATGGCTGGAGCCTCCCTGTCCTTTCCCTACAGCTCAGATCATCCCTCATGGCCCCAAACCGTAGGTGGGATTTAGCAGGTGTAATGAGGACAGCTTTATAAGCCACAAGAGATGGAGGGAAATGTGTTCTCCTGCCTCTCCCACGTTCAGTGACCTAAAATCTTCTTTGGAGTGAAGGGTAGCCTGTGTTTGCAGTCATCCTGCTGGTGCTGGTGGGGCTGGAGAAGTGCTTGGGTGCTGCCCTCGGTCCATCCAAAGGTTTTCTGCTTCATCGGCTTAGAAATCAGACCACAAAAGGCAAGAAACTCTTCACGAGAGTTTGGGCTCTGGACAGCCATTCCATTCCTTTTCAGAGACCACCCTGCCCCAAAAACCTGGCAGCAAAGCCCAGGCTTAACCTCAGGCTCATCCCTCCTGCTGAGCCTTGAGCCCTGCCAGAGCCTTCATGCCTGGCAGGGCCAGGGATCTCTCCTGGTGTTTCGGGTAAAGCTTTAATTTTGCATTTTGTGGTCTGGTTTCTAAGCTGATGAAGTAGAAACCCTTTTAATTTCTTTTCTCCCCCAGATTCCAGGTGGGTGTGAGGGACAAGCTGCCACCGTGGGCTCAACCCAAAGCGGGACCCCCCCTCCAGCTGCTCCCCCATCCCAGGGCTGGGAGCATCCTGCTGGGGTCTAAATTAACCCAGGTTATTTCAGCAGAGCTAAGGCAGGTAGAGACAACCCATGTGGGGCTGCTGGTGGCTCTAGAGGCTCCATGACACTCGATGGGGAGGTAGAAACAGGCAGATTGCAGACAGGAGCTGTTTTAATTTCATCTTCAGATGAATTCAGCCCAGTGTGTCAGCCTGGGCTGAGCAAGCCCTGGGAAACAGGAGGATGGACTGTCCCAGGAGCAATTTTAACCACGTGTCAGACAAACTGATATAGGGCTGCAGAGGCATCACACTGGGAGGGGGGGGGGGTCACAGCTCATTCTACCCCCCCAGCAGGATAAATGGGACAGGCACATCCAGGCAGCTGCAAACCAGAGCAGGAGCTCCTCCCGCCAGTGATTTGGGCTGAAAAATGAAAACTAAGAAGTTTCTTTTTTTAATTTTAGAACTGAAAAACCAGATCACCCCACTCTCGTGTTTCAGCTGGGGGTCTGGAGCCCCGTGTGGCAGTGGGAGGGGGCGGCGGGGGCCACGGCAGGCAGGAGCCTTGGACTTCGTTAGGATTCAGCCCTTAGATCTCTCCTTTCTCTCTGATGGCTGAGTGTGATTGACACTTACAAATTACCCAGCCAAAAGTGTCGAGTCTTTGACCCCTGAGTAACATCTTTGGCAAGCCTGAGATTTGCCAGCATTTTGTCATCTAATTACTACAAATCCCTTGAAAATTCACTGGCTGGTGAATTTTTAATGCGGGACAATTTCAATGTGATGCATCGCCCAGATGGGCACGCGCGCGCCTGCTCCTTCCCTCTCCCCCCACCGCCGCTTCTCCTTCCCTTTCTTCTCCTCCTTCTCTCCTTGCTTTGCTCCACTTCCTCCCCCCATCCGGTTTCTTACCTCCCTCCTGCCTCTGTGCATTCACGGGCCCGGTGTCTCATCCCTTCCTGGGCTCTCCATCCCGCTGGATGTGCCCGGGATGGAGCCGGGCACTTGGTGTCCCCCCGGCCTGGCTCCAGTGCCCCTCGCTGTCTCGCCGGTGGTGACAGGGAGGTGCTACATGGGATTAATTCTCTTTCCATCTTCTCAGGTCTCTGGCTGATGGATGGAGCAGGAGAAGCCTCCGTGAGGACTCGGCAGCCAGCACACTTGTTGCCGGTGCCGCCCACCCGCCCTGTGAACCCCAGGGCTGATTTATGCCCACGGGTCCAGCTCTCGGTGTTCCCAGCCTTTTAAACAGACCTTAAATTCAGAGCGGGAGGAAAAAACCCTTGTCTGCCAGCAGCTCCTGCCCGAGCATCACTTCTTAAACCCAGGCAGGGATGTGATTCCCTTCATCTCAGAAGCCGCCCAACCTGGTGGAAGAGGAACTTGGGGCGATGGACACTTCCCTGCTGACCCCGGGGACTCGGGAACCCGCTTTTAGCATCTGAACTAAACGACAGCTTCTGTACATTGAAAACCACACGTGTATTTTAAGTCTTCCACACGGAATCACGTCTGGGGTTTGTTTGGGTTTGTTTGTTTAATAACATCTTTGCCACAGGCAGGTAGTTCTGTTGGGCTGATGGGGAGATAAGCGTGTTTTGGGAGGGAGGGCCTGGGGTTTGCCGCGCTGGGCTTTGTGCCTGTGTCATTTCTGTCCCTGCTCTCAGGCAGTCGCCTCCCATCTCTCCCTTCCCAGCTTTCAAAGGGAAAGAGGCTTTGCTTTTCAACCAGGGTACCACTTTACATATGTAGGCAGCTGATAAAGTATTTTCACTTCGCCCCTTTCCCCTCTGGGAATCGCTGTCTTACGGCAAAACTGTTTTGTCTGACAAGGGCTGCAACAGATTACACATGTTGGCTGCAAACATGGGGCCTTTCCCCCCCCCCTTTTTTTTTTTTCTTTATGAGAACCACATGCCTTTAAAAAAAAAAAAAAATCTTTATCTCTGCACTGCCACGAGGAGCTTTTTTTTTTGCCTCAAGTCCCCAGGAGCAGCCCCGTGTTCGGATCTGCCTGTGGCATCAAACCTCCCGGGTGATGCACCTACCCAGTTTGTTTTTCTCACATGAGGTTAATTTGAGCCTGAATCCACGAAAATGCCACTGATTCTGTCAGGGCCGAGCACTTCAGCTGGGTTTGAGGTGGGATATTTTGGGACCCCTCGGCACCAGCACCCACAGCACCCATGGAGATCAGCAGGACTCGGAGGAGCTGAGGACCAAGCTCCAAGTTTCATGCTGACAACCACAACAGGGAGCCACACATGGTGGACTCAGTGGCTCAGGGACATCCCCTTTCCAACCCAAACATGGGTTATAGATTTCTCCCATCTTTAACTGGGAGCCAGGTGGGAAAAGTTTGGGCTCTGCTTTTCAAATTGGTTGTTTAGACATTGAAAACCTTAAAACCCTCAGCTGGCTCCAGCAGGAGAGGGGCAGAGCCAGGAAACCCCTGGTCTCAGGCTCCATCTCCTGAGCTGCCCCTTCCAGAAATGTCCCTTGTTTTCCCAGCAGCACTGGCACCCAGAGGGAAGGGCTTGGAGAAGGTGGATTTAGGCACCAAGGATGAAGGGAACACCAGGATTCGTGGATAAGAAGCTGCACACCAGGGCTGAGACGTGGCCAGGTTTCAGAGAGAGAAAAATGAGGACACTGCAGTGCCTTGGAGTGGGCACCCAAAACTGGGGGTGCCTGAGGGGGCTTTGGAAGAGAGGAGCCCTGAGAGGGGGGGCAGTTCATCACAAACTAACCCAGGCAGTGCCTTGTGTGTTTTAAGGGGGAAATACAAGATGATTAGTGATGGGTTTGAAGAATTAGGGTGTGTCACTGCAGGTGGAAGGCAGCTCAGGAGAAAGCTGCTCTCCAGGAGGGATCCTGGCTGGGAGGTGACATCCAAGTCAGGGAGCCCAAATTGGATGCCATGGGGAAGTGTGAGCTTCCTGAAGCACGAGGTTAAGACATGAGGTTTAGTTTAACTTCTGAAACCAGAAACTTGTCGTTTTGCAGTATGTTTTGTGTGTCACAGAGGACCTGGAGTCACACCAGGGTGCCAGCAGCTCTCCTTGTGCCACTGCTGATGGATGCTAGTCCTGCCTGCTGCCAAAGACCTCTGGGGACCCCGGCACTGAGCAGGCTTTGGACCTGGGCACCATCCATCAGTTGTGTCAGCACTGGGGATGCTCAGACCCAGGGAGAAGCTGTGGTTGCCTCAAGTGTTGGTGATCCCACTGGATCCACCTGGCCTTTTCTGAAGGAGAAAGTCCCACAGCAGCACAGTCTGACTCCAGACTGAGAACACCATCCTTCTGGGCACATCATGATGGGCATTTTCATGCCCAAGGACACCCAGAAGCGATGTGAAGCCCAACCTGCTCTTTTCCAAATTAATGCCTTCCTTTTTTTTCCCCCCCATTTCCACATTCTCACTCAGGAAATCCCATCGAAGCAGCAGGTCCAGGTCCAGGGAATACTTTGCTTCCCCCGAGTTGTTTGTGGAGATAATTAACTGTGTGTTCTCTCAGCTGAGACCTGCCATGGCAGCGCTGAGTGAAGGGAGCCCGAGGCCTGCGGCGTCGGCGGGGGATGGATGGGGAGAACCATGGATGGAAAACGCAGGAGGAACCAGCTGAGAGTGACCCTCACTGTGGTGTTTGCCAGGTGGGACCAGCCACCACGTGCTGCCCCTTCTCCTGATCTCTAATTGTCCCCCAGCCTCAGGCCATTCAGCTTTGGGGACATCCTTCTTATCCTTTCCCAGCTTCTCTGTGCCCCTTTGGAGCTTTCTCCCCTCCTGCAGATGTGGCTGCAGCTCTGGTCCATGTCATGACACAGTAAGGATCCTGCTTGGTGCTTTTCCCAGTGATTTCTGACCTTGAGCCTCCCATTACTTCCCACTCCTGTTTCTTGCAGAGCCAGGTCTGACGATGCTCCCTGTGGTTCGGGGGGGACACGGTGGGTCACGGCCGTTGGTTCAGCCCAGGGCACTGCCTGCTGTACAGGGTGACACTGCCAGGCCAGGCAAAGCCACCTGCACCCCAGCACCTCCCCAGGCTCTTCCCAGGTCTGGCAACATCCTGGTGCCCCCCAGCAGCCCCTGGCACTCCATAAAGCCCCTGCTCTCCTCACACCGCGGCGCCTGGGTAACTGAGAAGTAATTAGTGCCGCTTGCTACGGCAAGTAGTGCCCAAATGTCAAGGAACAGCAAAGTTATTAAACCTGTTTTTACTGCACTTTTGCAGCCAAAGTCTATGTGTGTGTGTGCTGAAGTTTGGGGGGATGAATCTGGCCCCAAAGCACTGGGCAAAGTCCCTTCCCCTGGCAGGTCATTCCCTGCTCCCTGCCTCAGTTCCCCCCTCCACTGCCTCTGTAAGGGACCTGCTGTGTCCTACATGGGGAAAATCACATAGCTGTGTGATGGGAGAGGTCAGATCCCACCCTGAGGGTCACCAGTATCACTGGTTTCACCAGCTGGGGTGGGCAAGGGCAGCTCAGAAGCCCTGGGAAACCTTCTGCTCCCTTTTTGATCTTAAAATCAAACGGGTTGGATTGAGCTGAAGGGCTGTCCCTGCCCGTCCAAGTACTCCCACACCCCCAAACCTGTGTGCTTGAGGCTACAGGCAGGCTTTTGGGGGGCAGGCAGCTTGTCTGGGTGCAGGCAGGCAGAGGGTCCCACGGCAGGACTGTGATGCAGACTGTGCTTCCCATCCCTGCACCAAGCAGGAGAGGGAGAGAGCAGGAGAAAGCGGGAGGGAAAGGACGTGTCAAATCAATCATATTTAAACAAAAGCCTCTTCGGCCCAAGGGCCCTTTTAAAAGCTGCTTATTTAATTAAAAGTCCCATTTTCCATATTTATGGCCCTTATTCAGTTAAATATTAACCGCCTGGGCCAGGGCTGGTTTATTCTTTGGGAAGAGGCAGAGTTGGGAGGTTCATTAGGGGTTTATCAGGCAGCCAAGGCGCCTGGCAGGTGGATGGATGGAGGGATGTGGGACAGCACACATGGGCTCATGCCTGGGGACTGTGGGGATGACACCACCACTGCTCCATCGCCTTCCAGCGGGATGCAGGGAAATGGGGTTAAAAATGGGGAAATTGGGGCTGTTGGGATGGCGTGAGAGATGAGCAGCTGATATGCACGCTGGCATATCAGCTCCTGTAGGAAACAGCCTGCACCAGGCTGGCTTTGGGAGCTGGAAGCAGGGACCTCTGGGGGGGTGGAGGTGGGTCTTGGAGTCGTGGAGGGGGGCCAGAGCAGCACAGCTGGCTGCAATGAGTCAGTGATGCCTCCAGAAAATCACAGGATCACAGAATGTGACAAGTTGGAAGGGACCCACAAGGATCATTGAGTCCAGCTGCTGGCCCTGCACAGGACCATCCCAAAGTCACACATCATGTGCCTGGAGCTTATATAGGGGAGGGGATAAAATGGGATTTGGTTCCTTGGGGCTTGTTGGTGCTCCAAGGGAAAGCAGCATGTCCTGGCCATGACGGCAGCAAGAGGGAGTGGAGTGACCATCAGGAGGAGGAGAAGGTGCAGCTGGGGAGAGATGGGGCTGTGAGGTCTTTTCCAGCCTTAACAGTTCTGTGACTCTCTCCTGTGTGAGGTGTCCAGGCTCTTTCCTGGTGGCTGTTCTTGCCTGATTGGGATCTTGCCCCTGGCTGTGTCACACAGGTGCTTGGGTCAGTGTCACCTCAGTGAGAACTGACTGGTGATTTGAAGTTGTCTGACTGCTTCATCCCCCTGGGTGCTGTGCAGGGGGGTCCTGCCTCGGCTGGGTGGTTTGTAGGTCATTATCAAAGAACTCTTGAATGTCATTTACATGGCAGCAGTGAAGCAAGAGGGTTCACCTGGGCTCTGCAGCTTTGCTGGAGGCGGGGCTGGTTGGAGAGCTTGGCCAGGCTCATCTGTGGGATTGGAGCTCCAGTCATGAGCCAGCCCAGCTGGGGGGAAGCTGGAAGGTGCCTGAGGCCAGAAGTTTCTCTGTGCAAAGGTGTCTCCCTCCATGTGCAGCTTCTTTTCCTCCAACAGTCTCCCGGGCAGCTCTTGCAGCGCAGGGTTTGAGCTGCCACCATCAAGGTGAGCCCCTCCAAGAATCATGGAATGGTTTGGGTTGGAAAGGACTGTAAAGACCATCCAGTTCCAGCACTGCTGCCATGTCCAGGTACACCTTCCACTGGAAGGGGACGCTTTCCTCCAAGGGGAAGACCATGGAGTGGAGGAGCAGCCATGCTACAGAAGGTGTCCATGGGGCCCTTTCCTGGATGGGTCCCTTACCTGGCTGTGAGCCCCAGTGCTCACCCTGCCTCCAGGAGGAGCTGCAGTGTCCTGTGGTGCTGGATCCTGCAGGATAACCTGCTTTAGATGTGCTGGGACACACCCTGGGGAGGGAAGGTCTCCTGTGAAGGCTGCAAGAGAGTGGAGCTCCCCTGGCCAGACAAAAATCTTGCTCTGAGCCTTGTCCACCCGTTCTCCCTTTAATTTCTGGGAGCCAGCAAGTAGCCCTGTGCAGCCCCATGGCATGGCAAGGAATGCAGGGGGGGATGATGTGAGCTTCTCCCCCTCCCTCCCAGCGTGCTCAACACAATCCCAGCCCTCCTTCTCCTCTCCATCCAAAATAACAGGACACCGAGCAGGCGGCGGAGCCCAACGGGGACCCTGCCTTGGGAGGGTGGTGCCGGCAGGGCAAGGAATGAAACGGAGCCGGTGATTTCCTCCAGGGAGCGGGGCGGTGAGGAGAGTGGGGGTTGGCTGCTGGGGGGGCGCGGGGGGGGGGTTGTAGGGGGTGGCAGGAGAGGGAGAGACACCGGGTTATCAGAGAAGTGTGAAGACAATAATGCAATCTGACATTTCTGAAATGAGACCCCCCGGTTGCCCTGGCAACGGCTCACGTGGGACCAGCTCCCGGGAGACGGCTCCGAGATGTGCTATAAATGATGTTTGATTAGAATTTAAATCATTTAGGCGGAGAGAAGATAGGCCTTTTGTCAGCGCGGGGACCCGCGGGGGTCAGCCCCCAGCAGCTGCCTGGGCGCGCGTCGGCCCCGGGGCAGCGCCGGCCCCGGGGCGAGGGGTCACCCCCGGGATTGATCCTGCCCTCCCTCCGCCGGGGCCCTGCTGACCTTTCCAGCCGCGAGAAGAGGGGGCTTGTGGCCAAGGCAAACAACGGCGCGGGAGGACGGTGGTGCCTCGGAGCCCCGGGAACGTCCCTGGCATCACCCGAGCTTTGGTTTTCTCCCAGCTGGTGCAAAGCCACCAAAACTCTCCCGTGGCTTCCACCGGCTGAGAACCCGGCCCTTGGCTTTTTCAGTGCCCTAATTAAGATAATCACACTTCAGAATCAATTCTGCCTCCCTAAAAGTTTCCTTAAGGAGCAGGGAATGAAGCATGACATTACCTCTAAGAGGAGTGCCCTTCCCAGCTTGCCTTCGGGGATGTGACCAGGTTCTCCCCATCACCTCCAGGCCACGCTGGGAGAGCTCTCCATCATCCAGCCCTGTTCAGAGGAGCTGTCTGGGGGCAGGAATTTTGCTGGACAACCGTACCCTGAGCATTTTTTGCTCTTTCCAGCTCCTTGATGCACACACCGAAGCCCTTTTTGCTGTACGAAGCCTTCCTCGTGATGAAATATATTTTTCTCTAGCTCTGGGGGCTTGGAGGACTTCATGCATGGAGCAACAGAGATGGAGACGGGGTCAGCAGCCGTGGTTTATGTTCCTGTCATGCCCAAACCGCACTTGCTGGGTTTATTGAACGAGGTCTCCAAGTAATGAAATGCAGGGAAGCCTCAGCTCGGGTGTGAGGTCTCTGCTTCGCTGCAGCACAAAGGAGTTGGGGTCACTCTGGTTCTGCACTGATGACACCACTCCAGGTAGCCCAGTTGTCTTCATCCAGTTCAGTCAGGTGACTTTAAAGCATCTGGACCTTATTCTGAGGTCTCATGGGCGGTGTGGAGAGGTGGCCACCATCAGAGCCAGAAGGCACCCCCATTTTGGGAAGGCTGGGTGTCTGGAGAAGCTGTTAATTTGCTTTAATATTAAAAAGCCTGAGCTTGGGCCTCAGATTGAGTGAGGAATAAAAGTGCCTGATTTCCCAGTTGGTGGGAGAACAGTGTTAGAAGCAAACCAGCAACAGGGTTTCTTCTTGGAAATTTTTTAAATTGCTTTCTCTTTAATGCTGTGGTTTAGGTTCGATGAATCTTCAGAGCTTGCTTTTCAACCCCCTGAAAATGCCATCTGATCATGAAATTAGAGCTAAACTAATAAGTCTCAACAAATATTAATCTAATGAATTTAGCTTCTTTCTGTTTGTGGACCAGCAAAGAGGGGAATTGCAATGTTCTCATATGTATTAATTGTTTGAATGTATTCGATGAACCTTTCCTGACTGCTTTGAGTGTGTGCCTTGGTCATGAATATTCTGAGTTTTGTTTCTGGGTTGTGACCACCCTGTACATTCAACTACAGCTGGTTTGGGGGAAAAACTCAACCAAGGGGAGTATGGGTCTTAAAATCATAGAATGGTTGGACCTTGGAGCTCATCTTGTTCAAACTCCCTGCTCGTGGCCACCTTCCACTAGACCAGGTTGCTCCAAGCCCCATCCAACCTGTCTTGCAAGCTCTGAGCTTTGCTGTAGGCTTCCCATCTTCTGATGGTCTT